CACCCCAATACGCCTTGCAGAATCCCCTGAAATACCCTCTGGGACCCTGATTCAGCCCACACAACCCCACAGGACCTTGAAATGCCCCTGGGACCCCGGTTCATCCCACATGACCCCTGGACTCCCAAATGTCCCTCAAGACCCCGATAAGGCCCACACAATCCCAAGTGACCCCAAAACATCCCCAGGACCCCTGGACCCTGATATGCCCCTGGAATCCTGATACACCCACCCCTCGTACCCCAAAATTCCCACCCCTCCTGACCCCCTGGGACCACAGTACACTCCCTGGGATCCCATGAAGCACCCAGGATACACCCCACACGATCCCACTGGGACCCTAAAATGCCCCACATGACACCACAGACCCTGATAGGCCTCACAGGACCCCCTGGACCCAATATGTCCCACACAATGCTCTGGAACCCCCAAATGCCCCTGTGACGGGATTCCCAGGGTGCAACCTGGGACTGTGGGACCGCTGTGCCCCCCTGAACTCTCTCTCCAGCCTGGGCTGTCTCCCACAATGTCCTGCTAGTGACCAGCAGCACCCCCCTCCAGGCTGCCATCACTCGCCTGTCCCCACGGGGGGAATCACACGCCTGGCTGGGGCCACTCATGGGACACACAGGGAAAGGCATCAGCCAGACCCTCCCAGCTCAGGAACATGCCGTCCTGTGCTGCTCCTGACCCGTTCTTGAGCAATGTACGTTTATTAAGTGGTTCCCCACATCATCAGTGGCGAGTGGACACACACCAGCCTTTGTAACCCGGGCAGATTGTCCAAACCCTGCAGGCAAACTCCCCGGTAAGGATCACCACGAGAATCGGCTTCTTGATCACAGACGATGGGTTTGAAGTGATAGGCAAAAGTCAGAGTAGTTACCAAAGGACAGTAACAGAGACGTGCGCAGGCTAAATTCCCACCTAGAGACTAGGGAATCTCGGGACAAAGTCATTTTTCTCACCCTGCTGGATACTGCACGTTGGTTAGAGTCTCACACACCCGCTCTCCCTGTTAGCCTGGGGACCAGTCTCCTCAGCTCCAGCGTTCTCCCTGCCTCCAGTGGGGGGTGGGGGAGGAGAAAGGAGAAACCATGTGGCCCCTGTCCCCTCTTTCCACGGTCAGGCCCCGGGCCTGGAGAGCACAAGTCCAGGCATGTCTGGTCTGGGGGCATTGCTGAGACCCCAGACAAGGTTGAGCAATTTCCCTGTCATTGCTCTGTAGCTCCCTTGCTGGACGATGGCTGTTGATGGTTGTTCGACACCCACCTGGGCATCAGTTTGTTCCCTTGCTGGTGTCTCCGGGCAGCTAATATCTGGCCGATTCCCCAACTCACAACCGTACAACACAGTCTCATAACTTCACACGCCCCGATGATAGACACGTTCCGATAGAACCGTGGCTTTCAGCAGATCATAACCTTCCCCTTGTACCTCACCTGGCCTGTTTTATACGCAGTATCCCAATCCCATCCAAACGAGGAACAGGGAGGTTACCGGGCACTCCCCTGAGGACCGGAGTGCCACAACCCCACCCTGGAACCCCAAAACACCCCTGGGACCCAGCGCAACTCCCTGGGACCACAAAATACCCCCTTCGATCCCTATTTGCCACACACAATCCTCTTGGACCCCAAATCTTCCTCAGGCCCCCCCTACGCCTCAGACAACCCCATGATGCCCCACACAACCTCCCAGGACCACACTCTGCCCACATGACCCCCCTGGAACCACCCAACCAAGACCTCCAAATGACTCCCACAGACCCCAATACACCCCACGTGACTCCCAGGATCCTGAAACATCACCCCCCAAGCTCTTGATACACCAAGATCTTGATACACGATTCCCCGCCAAAAAAGCCCAGCACAACCCCCCCCCCCCCGGACTTTCATACACCCTGAATGGCCCTCCCCCAACACACCCCACATGACCCCTCCAGGACTTCAACCCTCCCCCACCCCCGGACCCTGATATGCCCCAAACGACTTCCCTGGGACCCTGAGATGCCCTGCATTAACTGTCCTTCTCTTCCCCACCCACACCTCTCCCTGACCCTATGCTGCCCCCCTGCTCCCCCTCCCTGTTCCCCCTTCTCCTGACCCCCCCATCCCTCCCCAGTGTTCCAGTGAAGACGACTCCGTGCTGTCCCCAGCCCCCCCAACCCAGGAGCTCCCCCGGCACTGCTCTAATGGGGACCAACCATCCAGGGGGGCCGAGGGGGCGGAGAGGGGGATTACGGCAGCCAACAGAGGTGTGTGGCCTCCAATCCCCCTTCCGCCTCAGGGACGGAGCCAGAAAAGAAGAACAGAAAGAGAATGGAGGAAGAAACCCCTCTCCATCTGTCCACCTGTATGCCTTCATCCATCTGTCCCGCTGTCCATCCAGCCATCCAACCATCCGTCCTGCTGTCCATCCGTCCATCCATCCCACTATCCATCTAGCTGTCCTTCCAGCCATTCTGCCATCCATCCTTGCGTCCGTCCATCCATCCCGGAGTCCTACTGTCCATCTAGCTGTCCTGCAGTCCGTCCATTCTGCTGTCCGTTCAGTCTTCTACCGACTTTTCCATCCAGTGATGCATCTGTCTGTCCACCCACCCACCCACCCATCCATCCATCCCCCCTGCCATCCATCCATCCATCCATCCATCCATCTCCCCGGCCATCCATCCGTCTGTCCATTCATCTCCCCTGCCACCCATTCATTCAGTGATGTATCTGTCCACCCATCCTGGCGTATGTCCATCCATCCATCCAGCTACCCATCCCTTCATCCGTCCATCCAGCCTTCTGCCAACTCATCCATCCATCCAGTGACACTCCCTCCATTTGGCCTTCTTTCTGTCCCTCCCCCAACTCCCTTTCCTTGCCCGCCCTCCCTCCCTTCTGGCTCATTGCCCCTTCGACAGCAAATAAAACTCTTTCAATTTCCATGTTTACAAGACAAGAAAAAGCGCGGGCCCGAGACGCCAGTGGGACCCCTCGGCTGCCAGGGGCATGTTTACATCCCAGCTTGCCCCATCCCAAACGGACGAATGAAACAGAGCCAGCGATGGAAACCCCAACGCCCCTTCTCCCCTGGCTCCCCGCTGCACAGGGATCCAGCCAGCCAGGAACTGGGATTTTGGGGCCTACAGCGGGACATGGAACAAAAGAACAAAGAAGGGGGCAAAAAGGAGAGATGCCACTGGGCGCCAATTCCTCGTTGATCCTATTTACAACCCCACATCGGCCAGCGGGGGAGATGGGTGGGAGGCGTCTGAATGGGGACGGAAGAGGGAGAAAGGTGGAGAGGTTGCCGGAGGTTCCCCTCCTGCCCTGCCTCGGGCTAGTCACGTTTCGGGGGGCGAGGAAGGACAGAACGAAACGGGCCAAAGGGAGGAGAGATGCCGGCAGCTCGTTGGCTGCGCCTCCTCGCCCCTCTGGCGGGTCGGGCTGATGAACCCACGGCAGGGCCGAGGGGGGATGCCGGCGCCGGGGGGCCTGGAACAACAGAACAAGAAAGGCCCGACGGAGGAGTGGGGCAGGAACCGGCCCAACGCCAACCCCACCCAGGCACCAAGTGACTTCAGACTGTTACAGACCCAACCTTGCAGGGATGGGGATGGTTTTGGGGGGCAGGGGAATGCCCCCAGCCGAGCCCACCCCCTTGCAGGTCCCATCTTTTGCACGCTATCCACTGGGTAATTTGGGGGGGGGTAGGAGCACAGGGCTGGGGACAGTACAATTGGGGAGGAGATTGGGGGGGCAGCTGGAATTTTCAGGGGGGCGATGAAGGGGCTTGTGTTTTGATGTTGACATGCCAGTATTATACATGCATGTTTTTATATACTCTATTGTGGGGGGCGATGGGGGACAGGGGGGGTCACTCCTCGATGGGCCCTAGAGGTGACTAGAGTGGTTTCAATATCGGCGGGGGGCCTGGGACACATTAAAAAAAGCATTTGTTTAAAGGGAAGGAGGGATTTAAGCCATTTGGGGGGCCAGGGGGTTGGCTCCCATCTGGCCCCACAGCAGGCAACTGCTGGCTGACGGGGGAGGGGAATAAGTCCCCCCCCCCCTTAAATCCTCCTTACGTGGAGGATGTGGAATAGCCCCACATCCATCAGTTGGGGGGGGGGGGTTGCATAGTGGGTTTTAACCCTCACGGGAAATAATTCCCAGCCCCCTGCTTTTCCAGAGAACCCCCAAACCAGGGTGAATCTGAACCCCATGGCCCAGTGCCCCCTGGCTCCCCGGGGCCTGTTTTGTAGCGATTCGGATGCATGAGAAGCCAATAAACTGATGCACGAGAACGGGTCCGTGTGTCTGTCTGCGGGAAGCTGGGCTCTGGCCGCACCCCCCTCTGTCGGGCCCACGCGCCAGGCTGGGCAGGCCAGGGGTTCCCCTGTAACCAGCCCCCGCACCCCCCCCGCGCCGCTGTCCCATGGGTCCCCTCTAACCCCCTCCTGCAGCCCCCCACAGACCCCATCCCACTGGTCCCCTGTAACCAGCCCCCATGCCCCCCCCTGCGCCGCTGTCCCACGGGTCCCCTCTAACCCCCTCCTACAGCCACCCAGAGACCCCATCCCACAGGTCCCCTGTAATCAGCCCCCCGTACCCCCCCAAAAGATCCCATCCCATGGGTCTCCTGTAACCAGCCCCCATGCCCCCCCAAAAGATCCCATCCCACGGGTCCCCTGTAACCAGCCCCCCTGCCCTACTCCAGAGAAACCCCCTCCCAGTGCTGGGCCAGGGGTCTCCCTACATCCAGCCCCTGCACCCCACGGAGGCCCCATCCAAGTGCCAGGCCCAGGGTTCCCCTATAACCAGTCCTCTCACCCCACCCCAGAGTAGCCGTGTCCCGGCACGGGACCAGGGGGTCCCCTGTAACCAGCACCCCCTGCCCCAGAGCAGCCGTGTCCTGGCCCCCGACCAGGGGTCCCCGTGTACCCAGTGCCCCCCGCCCCACAGGGCACCACGTTCCCCCCGCCCGGTTGAAATGAGAGGCTGGGATTGATGGCCTGCTCTTTATTGTAGCTGGGACCCCTCCCCACAGCAGGGTCAGTTACCCCCTGACCCCCGGGGGGCAGGGTCGAGGCCCAGCGGAGTCGAACATCCACCACACACACACACACGGAGACGCTTACGCAGGGGAAGCGGCCGTCTGCTGGGGGGCAGGGGGCATGGGCCTGGGCTCCCCTGGGTGGGGGCAGATGAGGAATGACACCCCCCCCTCGCTGGGGGCAGTGAGGCATCCGCACTCAGGGGAGAGCAGAACGGGCAAAAAAACATGGCCACCCTCACGCCAAGCTGAGGGGCACAAAGCCTTGTGGGAAGGAAAAGGAGCCATGGGGGATCTGGAAAGGGGACCCCTCCCCCATAGTTATCCCCCCATGGAGTGATTGCCCCAGGGCAAAGCATCATGGGAACAGGAGGAGGAACCAATATGGCTTCTGCAGGAGTGCAAAGCATGATGGGCAATGGATCAGGAGCCTTGTGAATAACCCCAAACACTCACCCTCACAGCATTGTGGGCAAGCGGGGGGCTCAGGTATAAATACAGTCACCGCCCAAACAAGCACAAAGCATCATGGGAAGCCAAGGGCGCTGGAATAAACCACAGCCCACAGGCCGCCATGCATTGTGGGAAACGGGGAGGCCGAAGTGACGTCCCCCACACAATCAATGCCTGGGGCGCACTGCAGAGCATGGTGGGAAACGGGCCTGTGGGATAAAATTGGTCCCCGGAGGCCCCAAGGCATCGTGGGAGAGGGGGGCGTAGGCTACGCTCTTGGCATGACTTTCACACCCCCTGCAAAGCATTGTGGGAAACACGTCACGCCCGCGCCACAAGCACCCAGCACTGATTGGTGCGTTTCTAACCAATCGAGGGGAGCTTCACCCGGGGGGGGGGTCTGGTCCCATGGGAGGGAAGGTGTCTCTGCCGGCCTCCCCCCCCCCCCACTACTTCTTCTTGGCCCGCTCGGCCGCGTCCAGGGCGGCCATATTGCAGGAGGCAGAGACGAGCTGCACCAGGCTGATGAGGGACTTGAGGGCGGCGACGGGGGTGGAGACCCAGAGGATGAGACGGAAAAGACCCAGGCGTCCGGGGAGCACTGAGGGGGGAGGGGAGAGAGTTACACAAACACACACACACACACACACGCCAGGCGGTGCCCCTCACTCCCGACCCGCAGCCCCCTGCCAGCCCAGCCCTGCCCCCCCCCCAGCTCTGCCAGTGCCCCTCACTCCCGACCCGCAGCCCCCCCCGCAGCCCTGCCGGTGCCCCTCACTCCCGACCCGCAGCCCCCCCCCCCAGCCCTGCCCCCGGGTGCCCCTCACTCCCGACCCGCAGCACCCCCCCCCCAGCCCTGCCGGTGCCCCTCACTCCCGACCCGCAGCCCCCTGCCAGCCCAGCCCTGCCCCCCCCAGCTCTGCCGGTGCCCCTCACTCCCGACCCGTAGCCCCCCGCAGCCCTGCCGGTGCCCCTCACTCCCGACCCGCAGCCCCCCCCCAGCCCTGCCCCCGGGTGCCCTCACTCCCGACCCGCAGCACCCCCCAGCCCTGCCGGTGCCCCTCACTCCCACCCGCAGCCCCTGCCAGCCCAGCCCTGCCCCCAGCTCTGCCGGTGCCCCTCACTCCCGACCCGAGCCCCCTGCCAGCCCAGCCCTGCCCCCCCGCTCTGCCGGTGCCCCTCACTCCCGACCCGCAGCCACCCCCAGCTCTGCCGGTGCCCCTCACTCCCGACCCGCAGCCCCTGCCAGCCCAGCCCTGCCCCCCCAGCTCTGCCGGTGCCCCTCACTCCCGACCCGCAGCCACCCCCAGCTCTGCCGGTGCCCCTCACTCCCGACCCGCAGCCCCCTGCCAGCCCAGCCCTGCCCCCCAGCTCTGCCGGTGCCCCTCCCTCCCGACCCGCAGCCCCCTGCTAGCCAGCCCTGCCCCCCAGCTCCGCCGGTGCCCCTCCCTCCCGACCCGCAGCCCCCTGCTAGCCCAGCCCTGCCCCCCAGCTCTGCCGGTGCCCCTCCCTTCCGACCTGCAGCCCCCTGCTAGCCCAGCCCTGCCCCCCAGCTCCGCCGGTGCCCCTCACTCCCGACCCGCAGCCCCGATGCACCCACCTGCAGGTCCCTCAGTGAAGTGCAGCAGGTACAGCATGCAGTAGAAGAGCTCGTTCCCTGCACACATGGTGAAGAGGACAGGCTGGGGAACGGGAGGAAGCAGAGTCAGAGTGACCTGTGGAACTCCCTGCTTCAGGATTGTACTGACAGCCCCATGGGGGCAGAGCAGGGACAGGAGGAGAATTCAAGGTGCTGGGTAAGTTGGCGAAGCATTGTGGGACATGGGGGCAGGCCGGGGGGGTGTCTCTGGCATAAATATGGCTGCCTCTGAATGCCGCCCCCCCCCCCCCAACAGCTCTCTCCTCCCAGAGCTTGAGGGGGAGGACAAAGCATTATGGGAAAGGGAGGCAGCCCCCCCCACCCAAGACTGGCACCCTGCATGCTGCAAAGCATTGTGGGAAACATCGAGCAGCAAGACCAGACAGCCGCGCCTGGTGGGCTTGTAGAGAAGTGGGGCCCCGTGACCCAGGAGTTGAGATGCACCCACAGGACTCGGGGGGGGGGGTGTCAGGGCAGTGGGGGGCTGTGAGGTGAGGGGCCCGGGGGTGTCACTCACCCGGGAGGTGTAATACACCCGCAGCACTGGGTTCCCTGTCAGGTCGATGCTCTTGTGACTGTCACTGCCCTGAACCACGGAGCTGGGGAGAGACGGGGACATCAGTGGGGGTGGGAGGCAAAGCCCCCGCCCGCAGGCCGCCCCGGGCCCCACCCACCTGTGCAGATGCAGCCAGTGGCTGGCGACGTCCAGGCTCATGCCGAGCTGGTAGAGGAGGGCGCGGGGCGGGTCCAGCAGCGCCAGGTTCACCAGCAGGCACATGGTGGCGCAGCGATCGGTCAGCATGTCCAGCATGGCGCCAAACCGGGTCCCTGCCGCCGTGGGGGGAGGCGTCAGAGAGGGAGCCCCGCCCACCCCGAGCCCCCCGCCGCCCGTGCCCGCAGTGGGGGCGGGAGTCCCCCAGGGGGCCCTACCTTGGTTGAGGGCGCGGGCCGCGTGGCCGTCAAACGCGTCCAGCAGGCCGCTGAGCAGGTAGGAGGCGGCAGCCGGGCCGGGGTCGCTCGGCATGAAATAAAAGGCGAGGAAGAGGAGAAGGATCCGGGCGTAGCCTGCAGTGGGCGACAGAGCCATGGTGCTCCTCAGTCCCGACCCGCAGCCCCTCGCCCGGGGCTCCTGCCCCACGCCGCTCCCAACCCACGGGGGAGATGCACAGACCCCTCCGGGCCGGGGGGGCCATTGGGAGCCCCCAAATCACCCTGGAGCAGACCCGAGAACCCCCGGCTGGGCTGAGCCATCGCCAGTACTGGGGATTCCTGTCGGCCCGGAGGGAGCGGTTCTGCCTGGGCCATATTTACAGCCTCTTTCCAGGCCGGGATTGTCCCGCCGCTGGGGCGCGTCAGACCTTTCTCGGCGGGACTGACGAGCCACGAGGTAACGATCTGTTCCCCACGGAGGTGCTGCCAGGCCGGGCTCCAGTCACCCTGGAGCCAGCTCTGCGTTAAGCTGAACAGCTGGAGCCTCTCCCTCGAGGGCAGGTTTCTGATCCTTTCATCCTTCCCGAGGCTCTTCTCTGACCCCTCCAATGGATCAACATCCTCCTGGAACTGCAGGCACCAGAGCCGTCCCCGGGATCCCAGCCGTGGCCGCCCCAGGACTGAATCCAGAGGGAAAATCCCCCTGTTTGCACAGCCCAGGATGGCATTGGCCCTTTTGGCCCCAGCATTGCACTGGGCGCTCTTCTGCTGATTAACCCCCGCCCCCCTTGCTGAGAGTCCCTGCGTCCCAGGACAGAGCCCCCCAGCCTGTAAGTGCAGCCGGCACTCGTCCTGCCCAGGGACCGGCATTTACACTGAGCTGGGTTAAACCAGTGTCTGCTTGTGCCCGTTTACCCAGCCATCCAGCTGGCTCTGGACCAGTGACCTCTGCTCTGTGACACTTCCCACCTCCCACCCCCAATGTTTGGGTCAGCTGCAAACTTCACTGGTGAGGATGAGACACCAGGTGAAGCCAGCCAGACAAGGCAATGCTGAGACGCTACTGAGAGTCTGGGACAGCTCTCTTCCCCTCCTTCCTTCCTGGGCTGGGGGAGGACAGGGACTGGTAGGCAGGGGGCTGCATCGCCCTCAGCATGCTCCTGTCCTGATCCAGCCTCATGCTCCAAGGCTGCAGCCTCGCAGGGGTCAGGAAGGAGGGTTTGCCTCCTCCTCATTCCACCACTGGAGCCAGGGCACTGCCCGGCTGGCGAGTCAAGCCCTGAGCCAGTCTCCACGGGGCCAGCCTGGAAAGGTAACCCCAGTGCACTAGAGGCATCGGCTCCAAGGGGCAGAGTTAAACTGCATTAAGCCCCAGCGTGGACGCTCTTGCTCAAAATTAAGTTGGCTTCACTTAATTCACTTGGGAAGCAAAACGGAGTTAAGGGCACCGCAGTGCCAACTGAGGGTGTTCACACTGGGGTTTGATGCGGGTCAGAGCCTCCACTTCTGCTTGACAGCGACAGCGAATTCAGATGGACTCTCCCAGATGGCCCCGTGCAGACAAACCCCGCATCTGAAGGCAGCTGGATGGTGCAAGGGATGCCCTGAGTACAGCAGCGCGTGGGGGCCCATCTCAGCCCCCATCGGATGGGAGAAACCCAAAGGGGTGGTCGGTAGGCGTAACAGGGACCGGCTGCCTGTGCCTGGCTGCTGGAGAAGGGGCAGCTGGGCACTGCGGGGGGCCCGGTCGAGCTGGATCTGTCCATGCTGGAGGGGATGGTGCAGGGTGGCAGAGTTTGAGCTGGGCGTGACACCTTGGCACCCCAATATTGTCATGTAATGAGGACGTGTTTGGTACAAAGTGCACCTTGTGAGGGGTCATTCTAAAAGTCTTGATCTGCGAGACCGTCGTATCTCGTTGGCGTGTCTGCATGGTCTTCGTGTGGGAAGTTATAGGTTTGGCTATTTGTGGGAGTTACTGAAACACGTTGTGAGGTTGAAAACACCTACAAGTAGCCTTTCCGGAACAACCTAAAAAGGCCAAACGCTGTTAATGGCTTTCTGAGGAAATGCACCAAAGCACCAGGATTACCCCAGGGACTGTGTGCAATAGAAACCTCTCAGAGATAGCTCTGCACAATGGGAGCTGTTTGACCCAGGGCACAGCAAAAGAGCTTTCCAGCAAGTGGGGAGAAGATAGAAAAAGGGGGAAATGACATCATGTGTCACCCTCCCTCTCTCTGCAACTCCACACCTGGAAACACCCGAGGGGCAAGGACTGAACGGGGGAAGGGATGGTCCCAGGCTAAGGGATTTCTAGCCTGTGTATGAAAACCTGGGACACCCAAACTGCAAAGACAAGGTAGCTTGTGCCTTAAGAATTTGCCAGCTTGTTTATTGCTCAGGGTGAGAATTTGCTAATTCATCTCCTACCTGTCTAGTGCATTAAACTGTTTGCGTTTTTGTTTACTTGCTAGGTGACCTGCTTTGTTCTGTTCGCTCTCACTTATAATATCTTAAAATCTATCCTTTTGTAGCTAATAAACTTATGTCATGTTTTAATCCAAACCAGTATGCGTTTGACTAGGGTGTGTGGGGAAAAAATCTCAGCATGGTTACCACAAGTGTGAATGGTCCTCATCCCATTGAGGGTGAGGGGGACTGGGTGTTACACCCATATACTGGCAAGATTTGACCAGAGCAGGATGGGACTGCTCTGGGGTCCTAGGCTGGGAGGCTGCTGGTTAGAGAGCCTGCATGTGGCTGCAGCTGGGTGTGTCCCAACCTGTGCAAATGCTGGTGAAGGTGCAGACTGGGGGGCTTTGCAGCTTGTCACAGCAGCACAGTGCGAGAGGGAGCCCAGGCTGGTGGGTCGGGGGCTCAGTGGCACCCCAGTTCCAGCTGGCAGCCCAGGGGGAAACCCATCATACCAGGGACCTGCCACGAGAGCTCTGGGCCACTGGTTCCTGGGATGGCTCCACCCCCCAGCAGCCAGCTCCGACCTGGCCCCAGGGCAGGGGACAGGGCAGCTCAGGGGGCAGGAAAGGGACTAGGGGCTGTTCCCTGGGGGACACCAACTCTGACCCAGCTCTGAGGATCCCCCCAGCTCCCCTCACTCACCAATGAGGTTCGGCACAAATAGGAAGATGTTTTCGTCCTTCATCATCTCTGTGGGTGCAGGATGCGCTGCCTCCCACCCCTCAGCCAGCCCTGGGGTCCCCCCCAGCCAATGCACCAGCCCTGCCCCCCGCACCAGCCCTGGGGTCCCCCCCCAGTCAACGCACCAGCCCTGCCCCCCGCACCAGCCCTGGGGACCCCCCCCAGTCAACGCACCAGCCCTGCCCCCCGCACCAGCCCTGGGGACCCCCCCCCAGTCAACGCACCAGCCCTGCCCCCCTCAGCCAGCCCTGGGGTCCCCCCCCAGCCAACGCACCAGCCCTGCCCCCCGCACCAGCCCTGGGGTCCCCCCCCAGCCAACGCACCAGCCCTGCCCCCCGCACCAGCCCTGGGGTCCCCCCCCAGCCAACGCACCAGCCCTGCCCCCCGCACCAGCCCTGGGGTCCCCCCCCAGTCAACGCACCAGCCCTGCCCCCCGCACCAGCCCTGGGGTCCCCCCCAGCCAACGCACCAGCCCTGCCCCCCGCACCAGCCCTGGGGTCCCCCCCAGCCAATGCACCAGCCCTGCCCCCCCTCAGCCAGCCCTGGGGTCCCCCTAACAGCCCTGCCCCCCCCCAGCCCTGGGGTCCCCCCAGCCAATGCACCAGCCCTGCCCCCCTCAGCCAGCCCTGGGGTCCCCCCCAGCCAATGCACCAGCCCTGCCCCCCGCACCAGCCCTGGGGTCCCCCCCAGCCAATGCACCAGCCCTGCCCCCCGCACCAGCCCTGGGGTCCCCCCAGCCAATGCACCAGCCCTGCCCCCGCACCAGCCCTGGGGTCCCCCCCAGCCAACGCACCAGCCCTGCCCCCGCACCAGCCCTGGGGTCCCCCCCCAGCCAACGCACCAGCCCTGCCCCCCGCACCAGCCCTGGGGTCCCCCCCAGCCAACGGGGCACCAGCCCTGCCCCCCGCACCAGCCCTGCTGTGGCGCAGAGCGGGAAGAACAAACGGCCGCTGCCCCTTTAAGATCCCCGGGACTCTTACGCCCCACCCCCCACGGCCCTGTTGGGCTGTACCAAGCTGCCCTGGGGGGGGAGGGCGGTGGTGGGAACGGGGTTTGCGACGGCGGGGGGATAATGAGCCCCATTCGGGAGGAACCGTTTCATCTGAGGGGGTTTCACCCTCCTCTTACGGACGAGGGGGTGTCACACTCCAGCCCCCAGTTGGTTCAGTCCGGGATGGTCCATTCTCCCCCCCTTGCTGTGGCCGGGTGGCGTCACTCAGGTTCAGCCATAGAGCACCTGGCGGGCTGCTGGCTAGAGCGGCCCTGCCCTGCCCTCGTCCGGAGAAGGCCGCCATTTTGAATACGTCGCCACTTCCGGTTCCGGCACGCAAATCATGTGACACCCAGCTACCCAATCGGGGCAGAGATGAAGTGATGCTCGCAAAGAACTTCCCAGGATCCCCTGGGGCCGGCCTGGCCCGTTTCCCAGAATGCCCCGGGCGCAGCCTGGCCCATTTCCCACAATCCCCCGGGCCCGTCTTGGCCCGTTTCCCAGAGTCCCTCAGGGCAGGCCTTGCCCGTTTCCCACAATCCCCCAGGCCCGTCCTGGCCCATTTCCCACAATCCCCAGGGAACAGCCTGGCCTGTTTCCCAGAATGCCCCGGGGCAGGCCAGTCCTGTTTCCCAGAATCCCCCAGGCCCGTCCTGGCCCGTTTCCCACAATCCCCCAGGGCCGGCCTGGCCCATTTCCCAGAATGCCCCGGGCCCGGCCTGGCTGACCTCCCAGGATCCCCTGGGGCGGCTGGCCGAGGCCGGGGCGGCCCGAGGGCATCGGCAGCCTGGCCAGGGCCCTGGGAGTGGGTCTCCGAGGCCTGCTTCCCCCCACGCTCCACCCCAGCGGCGGCTGCATTTCAGCCGTGGGGGCGGCTGCGGCGGACAGACCGGGGGGGCCCGGGTTTATTACACTCGAGGCCCCTGCCAGGGGGCGCGGGGCAGGACTAGGCGGTGGCCTTGGCCACGGTCTCTGATTGGTCGGTGTTGCTGTCCGACTTCTCGCAGGGGGGCCGGTCCCGACGGGTCACTTTGCTCAGGAATTTGCCGGGCCCCCCTTGGCGAGAGGGGCAGTGGATCAGGGGCTGTGGGGCAGATGGGGGGAAGGGGTGAGAACAGAGAGCCCCCAGAGGGAACTGCCCCCCCCAAACACACACCAAGGCCTGGCCCGCCCACTGCCCACTATCCCCTCCCACTGCCCTCTAGCTCCTCCCCCCTTGCTCACAGCCCCACCCACATGCCCTATACCCCTCCCACTTCCCCATTAACCCCGCCCACTTGTGCACTATCCCTGCCCATGGCTGTCTAGCCCCTCCCATGTCCCTTTTAGCCCCTCCCATGGCCCCCCTTGCCCTCTCTCCTCTGGCGGTGTGGGGCTGCGGGGGGTTACCTGGATGGTGCTGAGCTCCTGCTCTGAGACCAGGGGGGACAGACCCTCCAGGCCCCCAGACGGGGAGCGCCGGGGGGAGCGGCGCCGCTGGGTCACAAAGGCCCCCCCCCATCTGGTCCTCCAGCCGCACGGCCTCCACCTGGAGGGACACATCAGCCAGATGGGGCAGCGGGGGGGGGGGGCGGCAGAACTGGCGGGCAGGTGGGGGCTGAGTCGGGGGAGGAGGTTAGAATCATAGAAGCTCAGGGTTGGAAGAGACCTTGGGAGGTATCTAGTCCCACCCCCTGCCCAGAGCAGGACCAATCCCCAACTAAATCATCCCAGCCAGGGCGTTGTCAAGCCGGGCCTTAAACACCTCTAAGGATGGAGATTCCACCACCTCCCTAGGGAACCCATTGCAGGGCTTCCCCACCCTCCTAGTGAAATCGTGTTTCCTCATCTCCAACCTAGACCCCCCCCCAGGGCAACTAGAGACCATTGCTCCTCGTTCTGTCGTCTGCCACCCCTGAGAACAGCCGAGCTCCATCCTCTTTGGGACCCCCTCAGGTAGTTGAAGGTGCTATCAAATCCCCCCTCATTCTTCTCTTCCGCAGACTAAACAATCCCAGTTCCCTCAGCCTCTCCTCATAAGTCATGTGTTCCAGCCCCCTCATCATTTTTGTTGCCCTTCGCTGGACTCTCTCCAATTTATCCACATCCTTCTTGAAGTGTGGGGCCCAAAACTGGACACAGTACTCCAGATGAGGCCTCACCAATGTCAAATAGAGGGGAACGATCACGTCCCTCGATCTGCTCGCTATGCCCCTACTTATACATCCCAAAATGCCATTGGCCTTCTTGGCAACAAGGGCACACTGCTGACTCATATCCAGCTTCTCGTCCACTGTCACCCCTAGGTCCTTTTCCGCAGAACTGCTGCCGAGCCATTCGGTCCCTAGTCTGTAGCGGTGCATTGGGTTCTTCCATCCTAAGTGCAGGACTCTGTACTTGTCCTTGTTGAACCTCATCAGATTTCTTTTGGCCCAATCCTCCAATTTGTCTAGGTCTCTCTGTATCCCATCCCTCCCCTCCAGCGTATCTACCACTCCTCCCAGTTTAGTGTCATCCGCAAACTTGCTGAGGGTGCAATCCACACCATCCTCCAGATCATTTATGAAGATATAGAACAAAACCGGCCCCAGGATCGACCCTTGGGGCACTCCACTTGACACCGGCTGCCAACTAGACATGGAGCCATTGATCACTACCCGTTGAGCCCGACGATCTAGCCAACTTTCTGTCCACCTTATAGTCCATTCATCCAGCCCATACTTCCTTAACTTGCTGGCAAGAATACTGTGGGAGACCGTGTCAAAAGCTTTGCTAAAGTTGAGGAATAACACGTCCACCACTTTCCCCTCATCCACAGAGCCAGTTATCTTGTCATAGAAGGCAATTAGATGAGTCAGGCATGACCTTCCCTTGGTGAATCCATGCTGACTGTTCCTGATCACTTTCCTCTCCTCTAAGTGCTTCAGAATTGATTCCTTGAGGACTGCTCCATGATTTTTCCAGGGACTGAGGTGAAGCTGACTGGCCTGAAGTTCCCAGGATCCTCCTTCTTCCCTTATGGGGGTGAGGAACATAGCATGGGAACTAGGGGTGCGGCTCTCAGCCCCCGCAAAAAAAGTGTCCCAGTGCCATGGGGGGGGGGGGGTGAAGGCTGGTACCTGTCTGTGGCGGGAGGGGTCACGTCCTCGGACCTGCAGTGACCTCCCCTCCTCCTCCTCCGGGCTGTCCTCGTCCTGCACCCAGAGGAGACAGTGAGGGGCATGGACAGCTGCACCCAGGACCCCCCATTGCCCCTCCCCTGCACCCGGGACACCCTCCCCTCCCCCATCTACCCCTCCCCTGCACCCAGGACACCATCCCCTCCCCCATCGCCCCCTCTCCTGCACCCGGGACACCCTCCCCTCCCCCATCGCCACCTCCCCTGCACCTTGGACCCCTCCCGTCCCCCATCATCCCCTCCCCTGCACCCAGGACCCCTCCTCTCCCCCATCACCCCCTCCCCCATTTCCCCTCCCCTGCACCCGGGACCCCCTTCCCTCCCCCATCGCCCTTCCACAGGACCCTCCTTCCCTTCGGCATTACCCCCTCTCCTGCCCCCATGGACCTTGGGACCTACTCCCCTCCCCTGCAATCCTCCCCGTTGATCCCCCCTGCCTCCCAGGATCTCCTCCCCCATCACCTGCATGACCAGACCCCTCCTCTCCCCCATGGACCCCATCAGTCACTCACCATCTCCCTGACATAGGGGCATCCCTGGGGCCTGGACTCCTGGGTCCTGCACAGGGTGCAGTCATGGGCGCAGCCTGAACTGGAAGGAATGGGGTTGTGATGGGGGGAGGGAGGGATGGAGGGGTTCCCCCTACCCGAGCACCCCCTACTCCCTGCTCCTCGCACTCACAGGGTGTGGCAGTCCGGGCAGGGTGCCTGCTGGCTCTGGGGGGACCCTGTGCTCTGGAAGACGGGGTGCAGCAGGGCTGGAATGAAAAAGGGGGGGAGCCTGAAGGGGGATGTGGTTGTGGGGGTGGAAGGGGCAAGGAGGTGGGGTTAGGGGGTGGGAAGCTAGAGGGCGGGACCCCTGGGGGCGGTGGGGGGTTGAGGGGGGCCTCCTGGGGAGAGGGGAGTAGTGTCTGGGTGGGGGCTGGTGAGGGGCAGTGGGGGTGGGGGGCTCTGGATAGTGAGGGGACAGCGGGTGGGGAGCTTTGGGGAGTGGGGGACAGCGGGGGTGGGGGGATCCAGGGAGTGGGGGACAGTGGGTGGCTCTGGGGGGGCTTACTGCTCTCGGCCCGGCGCAGTGTCGCTTTGAACTCCTCGTAGGCCAGGGGGGGCCGGGCCAGGCACCGGAAGAGCCCCTGATAGTCCGACTGTGGCAGGGACCCCAGCAGCCCATCTCCCAGGCATCGGGCCTGCAGGTAGCTCTGCTTGGAGAGAGACAGCACCTCCCCTGCCTGGGCCAGCACCTGCCCCGCGTGGAAACAGGCCAGCTGGGGGGAAGGGGGGTGGTCAGAGCCTTTAGGCAGCGCTCTACATCCCCCCCAGACACCCACCCAATGGAACCCCCTAGGGACACCGCGAGCACATCCCCTATAGACCCCCCGGAAATACCTATAGACCCCTCTGTACATCCCCCCAGACACCGACACAGCCATATACCTCTATATAGACACCCCTAAAGCCGCCCCCTAGAGATCCCCTATAGACACGGCTCCATAGAAACACAGACACCCCCCCATAGCCCCCAAGGCACCTTCAAAAGCAGCCCAAACGCACCCCCAGTGGAACCCCCCCCATGGACAGGCCTAGATCCCCCAACCCCAGACACCCCCTAACTGCCACCATTACCCTCCCCCCATCAGCGCCTAGTCCCTGAGGTTGGGCTGGGGAATGGGACCCAGGCATCCGGGCAGGTACCTGGGCAGATTTGTAGGCCTCTCCGGCCCTGTGCACCAGCCGGGCGGTGTTGGCCAAGGTGCTCACCAGCAACTCGGCCCTCTCTGCTGTCATGGTCAGGGGGGTCCCCTGGGGGGCACAGGGGGGAGGGGACTGGTGAGGGTCACAGGCTGTGCCCTGCTCCATGGCTCCTACAGCCAATAACCTGGGGGAGAGAGAGAGAGAGATGGGGGGTCTGGGGGAGTGGACGGGGAGGCAGGCCCTGAGTGGGATGGGGATCTGTGGCAGGAAGCATGGGGGATACGATGGGGGGTCCCAATACAGGTGGTGGGGGAGAGCCAGGACACACAGGGCTGGGACGGGGCAAGGGGGCTCTGGGGGGCAGGGCGGGAGGAGGGGCGGGGGGAAGGGGGCTCGGGGGGCATGGGGAGGGAGGAGGGGGTGGGGGAAGGGGGCTCTGGGGGAGCGGGGGGAACGGGGTTCGGGGGAGCAGGGGGCTTGGGGGGGCACGGGAGGAAGGAGGGGCGGGGGAAGGGGGCTCGGGGGGGCGCGGGGAGGGAGGAGGGGCGGGGGAAGGGGGTTCAGGGGGGGCGGGAGGGGGACGGGGGAAGGGGGCTCGGGGCGGGAGGAGGGGTGGGGGAAGGGGGCTCGGGGGGGTGCGGGGAGGGAGGAGGGGCGGGGGAAGGGGGGCATGGGGAGGGAGGGGGGGCGGGGGAAGGGGGCGGGAGGGGGCAGGGGAAGGGGGCTCGGGGGACGCAGGGTCTGGGGTAGGGGGCCCTGTGGGGGCCAGGACCCCGGCAGGATCGGGTCCGCACCCGCCCTTCCGGGGATGCTGCACAAGCTGGTACCCAACGGCCAGGGGAGGCTGTTGCTATGGCAACTCTCGGGGAGGGGGAGAGCTGGAGGCTGGTTGCTAGGAGACGGGGCTCCAGTCCTTGCAGCTGCTGGGGCGGGGTCACAGGGTTCCCAGCTGCAGCCTTCTGAATTATTAATTAATTTATGCAAATTTAACCCTCTAATTAACATCAGATGCGAGAGGCAGCTGTTTCTCCAGGGTGGGGCGCCAGGGCTGTTTAGAGGGGGATCCCCGGCCCGGTGCCGGGACACGGCCCCTCGGGGTGGGCACAGGGGACCCCTTGCCCTGCACCGAGATGTCCTGCAGCCGCCTCTGGGGTGGGGCATACTGGGGGCCGCGGGGATCTGTACCCCCAGCTGGGCAGACACCCCAGGCCCCTCCGCTGGCTTTAACTCTCCCGAGCTGGCATTGAAAGAGCCAGCTCTATGGCTCAGCCCTGGGCTCCTGTGACGCTGGGGTCTGTCAGCCCCCAGCCTTCGCTGTCCCTGCCCTGAGAACCAGGAGCCCGGCTCCCAGCCCCCTGCTCTGACCCCCCAGAGCCGGGAGGGAACCCGGGAGTCCTGCTCCAGACCGAGAAAACCCAGCCAAGCCGCGTTTGTTTTTTAATAATATCCAACATTTTTATTAAAAGTTTCCCCTTCTCTCCGTGCGGGCAGCGCCCGCCGCCACCGGCCCCCCTTGCCGTTCTTCCTCGCCCCCTGGCTTGGCAGGGTTTAAAAAGTGGTTGGGTTTGTTTCATTTTCTTTTAATACATTCCATCAGGACACAGATTTCTCTTTTGTTTCCTATTTTCCTTCTTCTATATATAAAAAGAAAATATGAGATACACACACGCACGCGCCACCCACACGGGACGGGGGGATGAGAGACAGGAGAGAGCCAGAGAGCAGGGACCTGTACAAGGTAGAGTTATGGCACCAAAAGGAAAAGACTGTTAAAAAGAAGAGGACAATATATATTACACATCAGCCCCAGAGCCCTCCACCCCCAGATCCCACAGGCAAGCCACGTGGTTAGTTAGCAGAACAAAGCAATTAGTCCCCCCCCCCAGACCCCTTGTAAAGAGCAGCCTCATTAGGGGTTGGGCAAGGTGGTTATTTAGAAAATCCATTAAGAAATGGAGGAATCAGGGTTTCCGTTGTTGTTCCATCAACGTCCTGGATGAGTGTATCTTAAATAATAATGAAAAAAAAAAGTGCAGAAATTCACGCCAAGAGGACCCGGGCATTGGCGTTTGGGCAGGAAAATCTGTTTCAAGTTCCCTTTCCATGGTGTGAGAGGAAAAATCTGTTTCAAGTCTCCTCCCCCTAGCACGCCAACCACCTTCTCCCCCAGTGCATGGCAGGACACAATCCGGTTTGAGTTCCCTTCACGATGGCACAAGAGCAGACAAATCTGCTTTAAGCTTCCTCTTATTGCATAAATGTGGAAAAACTCTGTGCCAAGGCTTCCCTTGTGGCATGAAGGAGAAAATCTTTCCTGTCTCCTTGACCCTCAAACCACAGAAACCGCTCAGCAAGATTCGCCACCTTAGAGGGAAAAGGGTGCTTAAAGATTGCCTCCCCCACCCCTCCTGCTTGCAGGCAAATAGTTGTTTTGTGACCCCCCCCCCCCAACGGAAAATAGCTCCCAGGGAATAATTGGGTCAAGATCTCCCCCTTTAGGACAGTAAATGTTTTAAGGTTCTCACACCATGGAAAGAGGGTTTCAAGTTTCTCCATCCTGCCAGAGAAAAAAGTGGTTTCAAGTCTCCCCACCACACAGAGTGATGTATTGCAAACTCTCCCATGCCGGGAAAATAGTATGAAGATTTGCCGCCGTCCTGGGAAAATAGATTTCATGCTTCTCTCCCCACATGGGAAAAGCGGATCAACATGGGCCTTGCTCCCACTGGACAGTGTTTTCAAGGTTCTCCTTTCCGTGCTGGAGGAAGTGTCCATCCCCCCTCAGCCTGACAGAAACGCTGCATCAACACACCCCACTTCCAAGGGGGAGGTGTTTCCAGGCTGCCCCATAACCACAAAAAGGTAGTGTCAAGAATCCCCTATCCCGAGGGGATAGAAAAAGCAGTTTCAGGTCCCCCCATGTCACTGCAGTCCAGGAGAGGGGCAGCCCACTCGCAGTGGCAAGGTGGGGGCTGATCCGGGCAGTGCTCAGGGCAGACTCCCCTGCTATCTTTTGGAGAGATGCTCCCGGAGAAGGGGGAACTTGGGAGTGGAACAGAGGAGGGGGCTGGGAGAACTGACTGATTGGGGAGGGAAGCTGAGCCCCCGCCAGGCACAGCACCCCCACTGGGTACCCTGATCCCAAACCTGGGGGCTTGCTCATACCAGGTACCGCAGGGCTCCTTAGGGGGAAGAAGATATGGAAAATTACCCTGTCACCTATGGGATACGGAGATAGATCCCAGGAGTCCTGGCTCCCAGCCCCCCTTGCTTTAACCCACCAGCCCCCACTCCCCTCCCAGAGCTGGGGAGAGAACCCAGGAGTCCTGGCTCCCAGCCCCCAGTGACAGGAAGAGGGAAAGAAATTAGGAAAAAATGAGATTTGAAAACAAAGATCAAATGGTCCCGGGTGGGGGTGGGGGATGAGGGGCTGGGAAGGGGACCGGTGTGTTCCTGCGTGGATATGGGGGTGTCAGCGGGGTCACAGGAGCGGACATGGGTGCCTTCTCTGGGGCGGGCCGCAGGGCTGGGCGTGGTGGGGAATCGCTCTCCATGGGGCAGTTGGGGGCCAGCAGCACCAGGTGAGAGCTCAGGAGGCCTATCCCCATAGCCCGGTCTGTCCCGGGCATGGCCCCAGGGGTTGCAGGCGAGGCCCCGCATGCCGGCGCTGAGCAGCGGAGGTCGATGGCGGCTCGCAGGGAGCCCGGAGTTCAGTGCCCTCCCGGCGCAGGCCCCGTGGCAGGCCGGGGCCGCCTTGGGGGCCAGGAGAGCCGTGGGGCTGGCTCCGGCCTCAGCAGCAGGGTCCCCCGGCCCGGGGTCCCAGCCGGCCCCGCGCCCCGGCGGCTGGCTCAGGAGTAGGAGTAATGCGAGCCGTTGAGGATGTGCGAGGTGACGCTGGCCGAGCGGCTGATGCCCGGCTCGGCCTGGCCCCCGGAGGCCGTGCGCCGCAGAGGCTGGGGGCTGTTGCGCAGCATCACCAGGTTGGCCCGGCCCCCCGGGGCGGAGGCGGGCGAGGAGGCGGAGGGGGGTGGGTGGAGCCAGGCAGAGGGGGGCGGGGCCAGGAGTGGGGGCTGGCGCCAGGCGTGGGGGGCACCGGCGGGGTTCTGCAGGCCGTGGCTCCAGTGGGAGCCGCTGCGGGGCACGGGGCGGGAGGGCCAGGGCTGGGGGGGCGCGGTGTAGCCCTGGTTGAAGGCCTCGGCCGGGATGCCCGTCAGCGCCATGTTACTGAAGCCCAGCCGCATGCTCTCCGAGTCGAAGGCCTCGATCTCCCGGGCCTGCCGCTCCAGCAGGCTGCGGATCCGCTCCGAGCGCTCGTTCTGCAGTGCCAGCATCTCCTCCTCGATCTGCGGAGACAGGGCGTGGCAGGGCCGGGCCGGACCCCCCGGGTGCCTCCCCAGCACCCGCCCAGCCGCCTGGGTCCGTCGTGGCCTGGCCCGCAGCCGGTCTGCACCGCCCACCTGGAACCCCAGAAATCCCCTCCCTCCTGTGACGGAGCGGGGAATTATACCCTAAGGGAGCTGGCTTGGACGCCTGGGTCCCACGCCCAACCCGGTCTCCGGGGGTCCCAGACACCTGGTCCCAGTGCTGGGCCCCCTAGGGGAGCCGTCCCAGATGCCCAGGGCCCACTGCCCAGCCCAGTCTCCGGGGAGGCTGTGGGGCCGTGAGGGGAGGTGTCCCGGACGCCTGGGTCCCGCTCCCGTACCCTCTGCTCCAGCAGGGCCCGGCGGATGGAGACGCGCTGCTCCAGCTCCTTGATCTCCCGCTCGTGCTGCGCCTCCGTGTGGATCTTGATCTTGCTCTGGTAGGCGTTGAGCAACTCCAGCTCCTGCTGCAGCTGCATCCGCAGCACCTGGTACTCGGCCTCCTGCGTCTCGTCCAGCCGCAGCTAGGGGGCGACACGGAGACGGCGTCGGCCGGGAGCCCGCTGGGGGGCGCTGGGGCGTGGCCCCTCTGGGGCGGGGCTGGGCGCAGGGGAGCCCCTTGCCCTCACCTGCAGTGTCCCCGCACCGCTGGTTTGGGACAGGAAGGGAAGGGAAGGGAAGGGAAAGTCCAGATCCGCTCGCGGGCGAGCACAAGGAAGAAGCGTGAAAACTGCAGAGCAGTTATCTGGCCAGGACACTTGGGTTCACGCCGCCTCTGTGGGAACACGCTGCTTCAGCAGCCCGTGCCGCAGGGGCCCAGGACCTTCCCCGCTAGGGGACGCCAGCTGGGCGGGGGGGCTGGCCCCGGCAGGGGCGGGGGGCAGGCCGGGGGGCCGCCCGGCGACCTACGGCCTGCGTGGAGAGCATCTCGTTGATGCTGTGGTCGTACTGCTCCGCCAGGATGGCCAGCTTGCGCGTCTGCTCGTCCTTGAGGCGCTTGAGGATGCCCTTGTGCTCGCTCTTGGCCGTGGTCTCCAGCAGGTGGGTGCGCAGGGCCTTGTACTGCCGGGTCTGGATCTTACACGTGTCCTGGAACTGCTTCTTGATCTGCAGCTCCTTGGACTGGGGCGGGGCCGCGGGGGCGGGGGGCCGGCGGGCGGGGAGGGGAGGGGGGGGGGGGGACGGGACGGGACGGGACGGGAGGAGAGAGACAGGAGCAAACGTTAGAGACACAGACACACCAGGCGCAGCCCGGAGGGCGCCGCTCTCCCCCCGGGAAGCCCCAGCCGTCGCCAGGGTGTTCGCCCGTCAGCCCCGCCCGGGGAGCCCGGGGGAGACATGACCTTTGACCTCAGCAGGCTGGGGGGGGCAGGCACAAGAAGAGGCAGCTTTGGACCCTCCCATAAGCCATTGCTCCTCCCCCTTCCCTGGATGGCGACCTTTGCCCTGCCTTGACCACAGGGGCTGGGACCCACATGTGCTGCTGTGTTCAAGGGGGCTTTGCCTATGACATGCCTGTGACCCCCACGACCCGCCCCCATAGTCCCATGAGCAGGACATATGACCTTTGTCCTGCTCGGGACCCACAGTCTGCCCCCATCATCCCATGGTGGGGACATGTGACCTTTGCCCTGCCTGTGACCCCCCCAGGACCAACCCCCAATGTCCCATGGCGGGGGCATGTGACCTTTGCCCTGCCTAGATCCCCCCGCAATTTGCCCCCATTGTCCCAGGGTCAGGGCATGTGACCTTTGTCCTGCCAGTGACCCCTTTGCCCTGCCTAGGAGCTGTGTGAGGGGGACGTGCCCTGGATGAAGGAGGGGGGGGGGGCAGGTGCGTTTCAGCTCCCAGTAATGACCAGATGCTCATCAGGGCGCCCTGCAAGGGGCCGTCCTTTATTGAAAGTGGAAAGGAACCAAAATAATCATGCGTCAAACCAAATTCAGAGGAAGCCAAAATGTAAAAAGGAATGCATGGCACGCACACAGGCGGGGGGATAAACAGCCCCCAACCCTGGGAGCCAGCGGATAGCCGGGGGAGGCGCGGCCGCCAAGGACACCGTGGGCCAACCCCAGGCAAAAAGCAACAGGCTGCCCCAAAAGCTGGGGAAAGCTACCCCCCTTCCCAGATCAGCTAAAAATATCCCACGGCCCCAATTCCCTGGTCAAAACCAGAGAGAAATCATCCAAAAATGGAGAGCCTTGCACCAATGGTTTGCTCACAAACTGATAAAAATCAAGTAAATCGTCAGATGTCACCCACCTGGGGCCCAGACTGGGAGAAATGTGCCCCAAATTGGTGAAATCCGATCACTTCAATGTTTGGCCAAGCCTAGTAGCATGGTCAGGGTTAGATTATGGCTCCACGTTTGGGCCAATCCTGGTCCTAGTTTTACATTGACCGGAAACTGGGCTACCAGAGCAGCAAATGAAATACAAACCCATCAATCTTGCAGAAAAATGGGCAAATACAAATCAATAACATGGACCAAACCTGGGGGAAATTAAATTAAAACATTACAATATTGGTAAAAGGCTGGAGAGAGCCAGGGAAAATACATCAACAAAACCAAGCAATAAGATGAATAGATTTTCAGCCTGGAGGGGACTCTTGTGAGCATCTCGTCTGATCTCCGTCAAGCTGCCCTGAATTAATTCCTAGTTGAACTAGAAAACAAATACAACGGACTTTTCTGAAATAGGGCCTGGGACGGCTGAAATTCGCTTTCCTTGGACATACAGGTCAGACTAGATGATCTAAAAGAAATAACCCCCCCCTTACCCTCCCCCCCCCGGCTTTCAACTGGAGGAATAATCACAGCTGTACTAAAAATAGGAGAAAATAACCCCCCCAGATATTAAAGTGATGGATCAAACCTTGGACAAATGAGTTTTAAAAACACAAATGCTGGTGAAATGCAACTTTCCCCAAAATGGAAGAACCTTAAAAAAAACCCAGGTTCAGCAAGCCCAGGGTAAATAGACCGAAAACACTCATAGATTTAGGCCCAAAACAGGGGGAAACAAAGAAAGTTGCTGAATTTACTGAATGGGGGGGGGGGGGCGGGATTTCTAAATTCACTAAGGGCAAGAGGGAAATTAAATTCTAACGAGGACAAAAAACTATTTGCCTCAGAAACAGGAGTAAAGAAATAAGACTAAAGCGACTAAAGAGAGAGAAATAAAAAAAGAATCCTAAATTTCATAAACTGGAGCAAATATAAATATTCATCATTGGCTTCAAACAGGAAGAAAACTCATCCCAGATTCGCTCCGACAAGTGCGATAAATAAAGGCGCTCCACAAAACCACCACTGAGATTTTCTAAAACTGCAGCAAATGAAATCAGCGTTACCCAAGGGCTGCCAAAAACCACGGGGGGGAGGGTTTGACGGAAAGCAAAGGGTTCACCCTCCCCCAAGCAATTGATAAGAAATTAATTTAACACAAAAGAAGATTTAGACTCTCCCATTTTTGGGAAATCTGTGATTATTTTTATTTTATTTCTCCTGTTTTCAGTCAAATAAAAAAAGAAATATCACAGATTTACCCCAAAACAAACAAAAAATAACGTGTTTGATCACTTACATAAAAAAACGCGCACACACACACAAAACGTAAAGGCATCTGCAAATAAATACGTTCAAGTCTCCCCCGAGGGGAGCGGGGTTACAGAGATGGGGAAAACAAAGCCGTCTCCGGGGAAAGAATCACCTAGGGCCGCCCCTCGGAGCTGGGAGCGGAAACGCACCTTCCCCCGGCGCTTGCGGCCGGATGGGAGCCCCCCTCTATTTCTGAGGGGGCGGATAGTGTTGTGGGGCCTGCAACTAGCGGAGAATCGAGCCCCTGCCCCAGGGGCTTGGATAGCGTTTGCGGGGGGCTGTGGCCCCCGGCTCAGAGACAGACACAAACCGCTGGCCCCGATAGCAGCACCCCTGGGTGAAGGGGTCACATCCCCCCCAGTCCTCCCTTCAACCACCCAACTGCTGCCCTTCCCCCCAGGCCCCCCCACTGCACCCCCGCCGGCTCCTGGGGGGCAAGGGTTAGGTGATTCTTTCCTCCATAGCAGACACTGCAGCTGTGCCCTCCAGCTACACAGAGCACCCACAGTGGGGTTCAGTCCCCTTCGACCCCCTTGGCAAAACAACCCCCCAAGATACTGGGGTCACATCCCCCTCCGCTGGGCCATGGGGGCGCTCTGGTAGGGGATGCCCAGAGAAGCCCACTAGTAGGGGACGCCCTGCTGGGGATTTTGGGGAGGCCTGGGGCTCGCCCCCAGCCTGTGCTCTGGTGGGGGGGGCTGGGGAAGGAGAACCGAGCTGCCCCACCCCCACATTCAGATGGGAGGGGCGGGATGGATCCCAGCACAGAGAGGAGGAAGAGGAGACCCTCTCTCACAGCCCCCCCAACCGAACCAGGACGAGGGGGCGGGGCCTGTTCACGCTGTCACAGGGCTGTGGCTGGTTCCCGAGCCAAAAACAAGTGTGTGGTGGGGGGCTGGTGGCCTCACCTCCAGGGCCGGCGGGCTGCGCGGGGGTCTCCAGGGGTGCTGCGGCGCCCCCCGCTGGAGGCAGCCCGGCCCCCCTGGGCTATGGGCCCCGCCCTCCAGCCCTGCCCGCGGCGCCCCCTGCCCACCAGCCGGGGGATGCGGCTGGGCCGCTCCTCCCGCAGCACCCGCAGGCCCTTGAGGTGGTGCAGGGCGGCCGGGGGCAGGCGGGCGCTCAGCTCCCGCGCCAGCCGCAGCAGGTGCTGGTTGAGGGCCCGCACGGGCCGGGCCAGCAGGGCCAGGGTGCGGCGGGGCCAGGCCGGCGGGGCGGGCAGGCGGGGGGCGGGCACGGGCAGCCGGCTGCGGAAGCCACCCTTGTTGGTCTTGGGGAAGAGACGGAAGAGGCCGCCCTCGGTGACCAGCCCCAGGCCCTGCAGGGCGCGGAAGGCGGGCAGGGGCAGGCGCAGCAGGGCGCGCAGCCAGAGGCGGCGGGCGCAGTGGGGCAGCCCCCGCAGGGCCCGCCGGGCCAGCGCCATCAGCAGGTAGAGCGGCAGGAAGAGCCAGGGCGAGGCCAGCAGGTGGGAGGCCAGCAGGATGACGGGCACATAGAGCCGGCCCCGCCTGGCGCTCAGCCCCAGCACGCCCAGCGCCCCCGCCCCCTTGGCCAGGGCCAGGAAGGAGGGGCCCGAGAGCAGGAAGAGCGAGTGCAGCAGGGCGTAGGAGACGCCCAGCCCCACCAGCGCCCCCTCCAGGGCCAGCAGCACCGCCTGGGCCCCGCCACCGGAGCCCTGGGCCCACAGCGCCGCCAGCAGCAGCAGCAGGGCCGGCCCGCTGGGGTAGGCAGCCACCAGCAGCGCCAGCCCCGCGCACAGGGCGTGGGGCAGCAGGGGCGCCAAGGGGGCGGGCGCCGGCCTGGCCCCCTCCTCCCGGCTGCGCCGCAGCTCCGCATAGGGGTCCTCGGGGGCAGGGCAGCCGTCGGCTGGGCCCCGCGGCCCCTCCCCCTCCTCCGGGATCAGGGGCAGCATGCCGGGGAGGCGGCAGGGGGTGGACGGCTCTAGCGCCCCCAGGGCAGGGTCTAGGGATGCCTCCTGCCCGTCTGGCTCCAGAGCTTCCAGGTCTAGAACCTCAGCCTCCTGGCCATCTGGCTTTAGAACCCCCAGGGCCACGAGGCCTGGCTCTAGAAGCCCCAGACGCTCCCGCTCTAGAACCTCGGCCTCCTCCCCATCTGGCTCCAGAGGCCCCAGGCTCTCATGCTCTAGAACCACATCACCGTCTGGCTCTCGAACCCCCAGGCTCTCGGGCTCTAGAACCCCTGCCTCCTCGCCGCCTGGCTCTAAACCCCAGCTATCCTGTCCGGTCCGGCTGCGGCCCCCTGGGCCTGGTTCTAGAGCCCAGGCCTCCTGTCCGTCCGGCTGCGGGCCCCCTGGGCCCGGTTCTAGAGCCCAGGCCTCCTGTCCGTCCGGCTGCGGGCCCCCCGGGCCCGGTTCTAGAGCCCAGGCCTCCTGTCCGTCCGGCTGCGGGCCCCCCGGGCCCGGTTCTAGAGCCCAGGCCTCCTGTCCGTCCGGCTGCGGGCCCCCCGGGCCCGGTTCTAGAGCCCAGGCCTGCTGTCCGTCCGGCTGCGGGCCCCCCAGGCTGCGCGGGCGGGGCCCCCGGGCGGCACCTACTTTGAGGCTCTTGGGCTGCTGGCGGACCTCCGCGGCGTGCTTCTGGCGCAGCTCCTGCTGGCGGCGCTTGTTGTACTCCAGCTGGTTACTGAGCTCGGTCTGGTGCTGCAGGCGGGTGAGCTCGGTGCGGGTGCGCTGCACCGTCTGCAGGTGCCGGAACTCCAGCTCCTGCGTCGACTCGTGCTGCCGCAGCAGCATGGCGCACTCCAGGTCCTTCTGCGTCTGCTTCTTGTTCAGGTCCTGCGGGGGGGGGGGCGTCACGCTGGGGGGGCCGCGGACCCCAGCCCCGCCCCCGCCGCCCAGCGCCCCGCCCCCCCTGGCCAGGCCCCACCAGCCAGCGCCCCGCCCCCACCAGCCAGCGCCCCGCCCTGCTCCGCCCCGCCCCTTGTGCCCCGCCCTGCTCCGCCCGCCCCTGCCCCCCCTGGCCAGGCCCCGCCAGCCAGCGCCCCGCCCTGCCCCGCCAGCCAGCACCCCGCCCTGCTCCGCCCCCCGCCAGCCAGCGCCCCGCCCGCCCCCCCACCAGCCACGCCCCCCCCCTGCTCCGCCCTGCCCCGCCCTGCTCCACCCCCGCCAGCCAGCACCCCGCCCGCACCCCCGCCAGCCAGCGCCCCGCCCTGCTCCGCTCCGCCCCGCCCCTGGCCCAGGCCCCACCAGCCAGCGCCCCGCCCCCCCACCAGCCAGCGCCCTGCCCTGCTCCGCCCCCGCCCCTTGTGCCCCGCCCTGCTCCGCCCCGCCCGCCCCCCCTGGCCAGGCCCCACCAGCCAGCGCCCCCACCCCGCCCCCCACCAGCCAGCACCCCGCCCTGCTCCGCCCTGCCCCTGGTGCCCCGCCCTGCTCCGCCCCCGCCAGCCAGGCCCCCCCCCCTGCTCCGCCCCCCTGCCCAGCCCCCGCCCGCCCCGCCCCGCCGCCCACCAGCCAGCGCCCCGCCCTGCTCCGCCCTGCCCCCCTGCCCCGCCCCGCCCCACCCCCGCCAGCCAGCACCCCGCCCCGCCCCCGCCAGCCAGCACCCCGCCCTGCCCGGCCCCGCCCTGCTCCGCCCCCCGCCCCCGCCCCCTGGCCAGGCCCCAGCAGCCAGCGCCCCGCCCCGCCGCCCGACAGCCAGCGCCCCGCCCTGCCCCGCCCTGCCCCTGGTGCCCCGCCCTGCTCCGCCCCCGCCAGCCAGCACCCCGCTCCGCCCCCCGCCAGCCAGCGCCCCGCCCCGCCCCCACCAGCCAGCGCCCCGCCCTGCTCCGCCCTGCTCCACCCCCACCAGCCAGCACCCCGCCCCACCCCCCACCAGCCAGCGCCCCGCCCCCTCCGCCCGCCCGCCCCCTGGCCAGGCCCCAGCAGCCAGCGCCCCGCCCCGCCCCCCGACAGCCAGCGCCCCGCCCTGCCCCTGGTGCCCCGCCCTGCTCCGCCCCCGCCAGCCAGCACCCCGCCCTGCTCCGCCCCCGCCAGCCAGCACCCCGCCCTGCTCCGCCCCGCCCCCCTGGCCAGGCCCCACCAGCCAGCGCCCCGCCCCGCCCCCTGACAGCCAACGCCCCGCCCTGCTCCGCCCTGCCCCTGGTGCCCCCCCCTCCCCCCCCCCGCCCCCCGCCCTGCTCCGCCCGCCGCCAGCACCGCCCTCCCGCCGCCAGCCTCGCCCCCCTGACCAGGCCCCACCCCCACGCCCAGGCCCCACCCACCTCACGCAGCCCCGCCCCCGCGCCCAGGCCCCGCCCACCTCGCGCAGCAGGTCCTGGTCGAGGTTGTGGCGCGCCAGCAGCATCTTGCGCTTGTGCTGGCGGCACTGCAGCTCCAGGTAGTGGCGCTGGCGGCGCAGCAGCCCGGCCTCCTCCTCGGCCTGGCAGCGCTGCAGCGTCTCCTTCTGCCGCAGCAGCCAGGCCTGGCGCTCCCGCCGCTCCCGCCGCGGCGTGCCCGGCCCCTCCTGCCGCTCCTGCGGGACGAGCCGCCTGCAGCCGCCAGCCAGTCCGCCCGGGGGGAGCAGGGGCTGGGCTGGGCTGGGGGGGTCTGTTCCCGGCCCCGGGGGGGGCAGGGGTGGGGCTGGGCCCCCCCCGGGGGGGGCGCTGGGCTGGGCTGGGGGTCTGTTCCCGGCTCCGGGGGGGGGAGCAGGGGCGGGGGGGGGCAGGGGCTGGGCTGGGGGGTCTGTTCCCAGCCCGGGGGGGGAGCAGGGGCTGGGCTGGGCTGGGGGGGTCTGTTCCCGGCTCCGGGGGGGGGAGCAGGGGCTGGGCTGGGCTGGGGGGGTCTGTTCCCGGCTCCGGGGGGGGGGAGCAGGGGCTGGGCTGGGGGGGTCTGTTCCCGGCCCCGGGGGGGAGCAGGGGCTGGGCTGGGGGGGTCTGTTCCCGGCCCCGGGGGGGGGAGCAGGGGCTGGGCTGGGCTGGGGGGGTCTGTTCCCGGCTCCGGGGGGGGGACCAGGGGCTGGGCTGGAGGCCGCAGCAACCCACCCCCCGGGGCCCCCTCTCGTCACCTCCTTGAGCTGCTCCTTGCGCAGCTTGTACTGGCGTTTCTGGGACTCCAGCAGGTTGCTCAGCTCCTTCTTCTGCTGGCCCAGGATGTGCTGCTGGAACTTCTTCTCCTCGGCCAGCGCCGCCTTGGCCTGCGGGGCAGGGGGCGGGGTGAGCGGCCCCCCGCCAGCCCCCGCGTGCCCCCGCCCCCCGCGGGCCCCTGCCCCGCTGGCCCCGCCCCCCGCCCCGCGGGCCCCACCTCCTTCTCGAAGATGGCCTGGTGCTTCTTGGCCAGCTTCTCGGCCTCGGCGCTGAAGCTGCTGCGATGGGCCTCCAGCTCCTTGTCGAGCCGCAGCTGGTGCTCGTCCAGCTCCGCCCGCAGCTTGTTCTCCAGCGCCAGGAGCTGCTTCTGGTGCTGCCGCCGCATGCGCTTGTAGCCGCTCATCTGCTCCCGCAGCGCCGAGTCCTGCTCATGCTCCTGGATCTGCCGCGTCACCTGGGCGGGGGCGGAGCTCTCAGCACGCCCAGCCCCCCGGCAGCCCCCCGGGCCCCTGACCCCGCCCAGCGACCCCACCCTGACCCCGGACCCCTGACCCGCCCACAACCCCACCCTGACCCCAGGCCCGCCCAGCAACCCCACCCGGGCCCTGACCCCTGACCCCGCCCAGCGACCCCACCCGGGCCCCTGACCCCGCCCAGCAACCCCACCCTGACCCCGGACCCCTGACCCCGCCCAGCAGCCCCACCCTGACCCCGGACCCCAGGCCCCGCCCAGCAACCCCACCCGGGCCCCTGACCCCTGACCCCGCCCAGCAGCCCCACCCGGGCCCCTGACCCCGCCCAGCAGCCCCACCCGGGCCCCTGACCCCGCCCAGCAGCCCCACCCTGACCCCGGACCCCTGACCCCGCCCAGCGACCCCACCCTGACCCCGGACCCCTGACCCCGCCCAGCAACCCCACCCTGACCCCAGGCCCCGCCCAGCAACCCCACCCGGGCCCCTGACCCCTGACCCCGCCCAGCAGCCCCACCCGGGCCCCTGACCCCGCCCAGCAGCCCCACCCGGGCCCCTGACCCCGCCCAGCAGCCCCACCCGGGCCCCTGACCCCGCCCAGCAGCCCCACCCTGACCCCGCCCAGCCGCCCCTCCCAGGCCCATGACCCCGCCCAGCCGCCCCTCCCAGGCCCGTGACCCCGCCCAGCAACCCCACCCACCCCACTCCCTAACCCAGTCCTGCCCGCCCCATGACCCCACCCTGCCTGCCCCATGACCCAGCCCATCCCCACTCCACCACACGACCCCGCCCAGCGACCCAGCCCAGCAGCCTCACCCAGTCAGCCGCTGACCCTGTCCATCTCCTGGCCTCACCCCAGCCCCTATCCCCAACTCTCAGCCCCCCGCCAGCCCCACCTGCGAACTGCACCCTACCTTCGTGGGGGCCCCCCGCTCCTCCCATATGGGGAGCCTGCCCACCCCACCCCCCACTCCAGCACAGCACCCCCTCTCAGCCCATTCCCCGCCCCTTACCAGTGAGGCCGTGCGGATGGTGGCAAAATGGTCCCGGTTGCGGCAGTACGCGCGGCGCCGGGCAGCCGAGGAGGAACTCTGCGGCTCCATCTCCGGCTGGTACGGGTCATCGTACAGGTTATCATGGCCCTGGCGGGCGATGGAGAGAGAGGAGATGGGACCCAGGAGTCCTGACTCTCGGCCCTCCGCTCTAACCATCAGACCCACAGAGCAGGAGCGTTCTTATTGTTTTCTCTGAATACTGTGTGTGCCTCAGTTTCCCCTGTGTGTCACTCAAGCGTCTAGGGGGGAGGATGAGGGTGGGTGATGGCTGCAGCGCCCCCTGGAGGGCAGGTGTGACTTGACTGGCTGCCTGGGACAGAGAATGGCCGACACTGTAGCCTGGCAGCCGATGGCTGGGCCCATCCTCTGCAAGGACCAGCCGGGGTGTCGGTGCCGAGGAGGTGACCTGCAGGCCCGGGAAAGAGACAAAGGACTGAGGAGGGAAACAGGCAGGCTGGGGCCAGGCAGCTGGAACGGGGCAGGCTCCTGTTTGGGACTTGGGAGGGGAGTCCAGGGCACCAGGCCTGGGATCCGTGGCTGCAAGTCCCTGGTATCTGCACTAACAAGCCCTGTCCTCCCCTGGATAACCACCCGTCTGTGTCGCACGCTGGCTGCCGAATGGGGGGCAGGGCCCCTCCGGCTGCCCCAGGGCCCGTCCAGGGGGACTCGCTGCAGGGAGCTCACGGGGTGAACAGGGAGCTGGACGCTCCGAGGTCGGACCCAGGAGGCCCCTTGCCCTGGACAGCGAGTCCTGCGGGGAGTCCCCCAAGTCCTGGCTGAGCCTCATTCAAGGCAGTTCCACAGCACCGGGCCTGGGACTCCGGGACACCCCACGCCCCTCCCAGCACCGGGGTAAGCCCCAGGAGTGCGGGCTGCCCGCGTGGTACCGGCAGGCGGTGGATGACGGAGCTGTTGGAGGTGACCGTGTGCTCCCCCTCCTGCATCATGGCGATCTCCGCTCCCTCGTCCTCGTCGGAAGCGTCCGCCAGGCTGTTGACGCTGCTGCTCTGGCTGCTGGCGCTGATGGACATGCTGGGCACCGAGTGGCTGCTCTCCATGCTGTTGATGGTGCCCGTCCGGTGCATGAACTGCTCCACCTCCTGGGGGAGGGACGAAAGTCAACGCACCCTCTCTGGGGTGAGGCGGGCTGGGCACAGGGGGACCCCTAGTCCGGCGCTGGGACCCGGCCCCTCCGGGGTGGGGCACACGGGGAGCCCGGGGGCAGGTAACACCGCTCTCACCTCCTCCTCGTCGGGCGCCTCGGCGTTGGGGCCGTTCTGCGCCTCCTGGAAGAGGATTTTCTTCATCTTGCGGTACTGCAGGTTGTCCAGCTCCCGCACGGCATCCTTGGTGCGCTGGATCAGGTCCATGATCACCGTCTGGGGCCGCTCCCGCAGGAGGAACCGGTGCTGCTGGGGCACGGGGGTGGGGTCAGTGACGGACGCTGCCCCGGGGACACCAAGGACCCTTCACATGCTCCTGTCCACCCCCCCCCAGCTAGCCAATTTGGGAGACCGGCCGGGGCTTACCTTGAGCAGCACATCCGAGGTGGGCCGGTCTTGGGGGATTTTCTGCAGGCAGGAGTCCACGAAGTTCCGGAAATACTCGGACCTGGGGGAGCAGAAACAGATAAACCGGAGGGGGAGCAGGGCCATCCCTTGACACCAGAGAGTCAGCTGGGGCAAGATGGCTAACCCCATGGGAGGGCAATTCACCACCAGGGAGCGAACCCAGGAGTCCTGGCCCCACACACGCACTTACCGCGGGACCACGCTCCCCTCCCAGAGCTGGGAGAGAACCCAGGCTCCCACCCCCCCGCTCTAACCTCCAGACACCACTCCCATCCCGAGCGCCCCCAAGAGTCCTGGCTCCCACCCCCCCTGCTCTAACCACTAAACCCCACTCCCATCCCGAGCAGGGAGAGACCCCAGGAGTCCTGGTGGTGGAGTGTGACCCAGGGACCCTGCCCAGGGCTGGTCTCTACCCAGCAGCAAATCCAAAGGTGTGGGGTGAGGAGCCCAGCACTGACTGCGCCCCAGCGACTGCCCAGACCCCCGTGAAGCTCAGTCGGGCGAGAGGGGGTTTGTGAGGCTGGCTCTGTGCCAGCAGGCAAGCGACAGCCAGAAATAGCCCCGCGGGGGAGCCCGTTCCCAGGCGAGGCCAGCGGGCACCGAGGGGCACCCAGGTGCCTTTGGCTGGTGGCCCCGGCGGCTTGGCACGAGCTGCACCCACAGCTCGGGAGCGTGGGAATTGGGGGCTCACCAGTGGCTAGACTGCAGGCCGGGGGACTCGTTCTGGGCGATGTGGTATAAGGCACTCATTGCATTCATGTTGAAGAGGGGCGGCTTGCGCTCCGCTGCGGGGAGAGAGACGCATCAGCAGCCGGCCCCCCACCCCTGCCCCTGCCCAGCACCACCCACCCCCTGCCTCTGCTGCCCCTGCCCAGCGCGGCCCGCCCACCCCGCCCCTGCCCAGCACCACCCACCCCCTGCCTCTGCTGCCCCTGCCCAGCGCGGCCCGCCCACCCCGCCCCTGCCCAGCACCACCCACCCCCTGCCTCTGCTGCCCCTGCCCAGCACCGCCCACCCCCTGCCTCTGCTGCCCCTGCCCAGCACGGCCCGCCCAACCCGCCCTGCCCAGCACCACCCACCCCCTGCCTCTGCTCCCCTGCCCAGGCCCGCCCACCCCGCCCCTGCCCAGCACCACCCACCCCCTGCCTCTGCTGCCCCTGCCCAGCGGCCCGCCCACCCCGCCCTGCCCAGCACCACCCACCCCCTGCCTCTGCTGCCCCTGCCCAGCACCGCCCACCCCCTGCCTCTGCTGCCCCTGCCCAGCACAGCCCGCCAACCCGCCCCTGCCCAGCACCACCCACCCCCTGCCTCGCTGCCCTGCCCAGCGGCCCGCCCACCCCGCCCCTGCCCAGCACCACCCACCCCCTGCCTCTGCTGCCCCTGCCCAGCGTGGCCCGCCCAACCCGCCCCTGCCCAGCACCACCCACCCCCTGCCTCTGCTGCCCCTGCCCAGCACCGCCCACCCCCTGCCTCTGCTGCCCCTGCCCAGCACGGCCCGCCCAACCCGCCCCCTGCCCAGCACCACCCACCCCCTGCCTCTGCTGCCCCTGCCCAGCACCGCCCACCCCGCCCCTGCCCAGCACCACCCGCCCCCTGCCTCTGCTGCCCCTGCCCAGCACGGCCCACCCAACCCGCCCCTGCCCAGCACCACCCACCCCTGCCCTCTGCCCCTGCCCAGCACCGCCCACCCCGCCTCTGCCCAGCGCCCCCCCCCCCCGCCTACCCAGCTCAATGCAGGTGATGCCGAGTGACCAGACATCCACCTTCCCGTCATACTGCCCCTCGTCCATGGCCAGGATCACCTCGGGGGCCATCCTGGGGCAGACAGAAAGACGGAGTGAGCTCCCTGGGCCCTAGCCCCTGGCCCCCCCCCGCCGGCCCGGCCCCTCACCAGTACGGCGTGCCCACGAAGGAGTTGGCGGGGGCAATGATGGAGGCCGAGCCAAAGTCCCCAAGCTTCACCTGCCCCGGCTCCGTCAGCAGGATGTTCCCGGCCTTCACGTCCCTGCGGGGTCCGGAGAGAGAGAGCGCTCAGCGCCTGGACACCCCTCGGACGCCCCCCTTCCTGGAGAGGGCGGTCAGTGCCCAGACAGCCCAACAGACAGCACCCCCTTCCTGGGGAGAGCCCCACGAACGGCCCCCCTTCCCGGCGAGAGCGCTCAGCGCCCGGACGGCCCCACGAACGCCCCCTCTTCCCGGGGACAGCGCTCAGCATCTGGACAGCCAGCCCCGGAGGGGGAACGGGGACAGACTGGGGGGCAGGAGGGAGCCATCCCCAGCGGTGGGAGGCGACAGGGACAGACCGGGGGTATGGGGGCAGGGGTGGGACGGGGGAGGAAGAGATGGGGACAGACGGTGGGGTGGGGGTGGAAGAGGTGGGGACAGACCCGGGGGGCAGAGTGGGACGGGGAGGAAGAGACGGGCGCGGGCGGACGGGGAGGACGACAGCCTGGGGGACGGGGAGGCGGAGGAAGAGGTGGGCACACGCGAGGGGATGGGGGCGGGGTGAGACGGAAAGGAAGAGACGGGCGCAGGCGGGGGGTACCTGTGGATCATGTTGTGGCAGTGGAGGTAGGCCAGGCCCTGCAGCGCTCCGTGGGTGATGGCTGCGATCTCCACCTCCTGCAGCGGCTTCTTGTGCACTGGGGGCAGAGGGAGGGGTCAGAGCAGCCCCCCAGCCCCTTTGGGGTACAGTCCCCCCCGCGGCCCCGCACCCCAGCACTCACCCTCCAGCAGGTCTGAGGCAGAGCCCAGGCAGTACTCCATCACCAGCTGTGGGGGGACAAGAGGGGTGAGCGTGGTGGGCCTGCTATACCCAACCCACCCCTGCCACCCCCTACACCCCACCCCCACTTCCACGTGGCTCCTCACTGCACACCCCCCGCCCTGACCTCCAAACCTCCCACCCCCCCACACCCCACCCCACTTCCACGTGGCTCCTCACTGCACACCCCCCGCCCTGACCTCCAAACCTCCCACCCCCCCACACCCCACCCCACTTCCACATGGCTCCTCACTGCACACCCCCCGCCCTGACCTCCAAACCTCCCACCCCCTCACACCCCACCCCACTTCCACGTGCTCCTCACTCACACCCCCCCCTGACCTCCAAACCTCCCACCCCCCCACACCCCACCCCACTTCCACGTGGCTCCTCACTGCACACCCCCCGCTCTGACCTCCAAACCTCCCACCCCGAACAACCCCATCCCCCACTCACCCAGGCCGTGTGTTCCCGCAGGTAGCAGCCCTTGTACTCGATGGTGTTGGGGTGTCGTAGCTTCTGCAGGAACTTCACCTCCTTAATGATGTCCTGCCATTTCTGAGACAGCCATATGCGCTTAGGGGCCGGGAGCCCGGACGCCTGGGTTCTATCCCAGCTTGGGGGGGGATGGGGGACCGGGAGCCCGGACGCCTGGGTTCTATCCCAGCTTGGGGGGGGATGGGGGACCGGGAGCCCGGACACCTGGGTTCTATCCCAGCTCGGGGGGGGATGGGGGACCGGGAGCCCGGACACCTGGGTTCTATCCCAGCTCGGGGGGGATGGGGGACCGGGAGCCCGGACGCCTGGGTTCTCTCCCAGCTCAGACAGTAGGGTCACAATGGGGGAAGGGCTGGGAGCCAGGACTCCTGGGTTCTACCCCAGGTCTGTTAAGTCCCCTGCACCCTCCTGCAAGAGCTGGGGGCTCACCTCATTGGATTGCTTCCCACTGTACGACATCTTCTTGATGGCCACCACCTCGTTGTTCCGCATGTCGCGTGCCTGCCGGGCAGAGGGGGGTCAGAGTGGGCTGGCCAGGGGAGCCCCACAGGGCAGAGACCCTCCCAGGGCCAGCCCGGGGGGAGGGGAGGAACCCCATGGGGAACAGGGGCAGGCCAGGGGGAGGAGCAGGGGCCCAAAAAAGAGGAAGGGCAGGGAAGGGGGTGGAGTCAGGAAGGGTGAGGTGGTGGGCCAGGGCCAAGGAGAGGGGCGGGGCCGGTGAAGAGGTGGGGCCAGGGAAAGGGGTATTGTTAGGAGTGGTGGTGGGGGGGGGGGGGACAGGGAGGAAGGCCAGGGGAGCCCCCGGGGCAGGGCCCATAGCCACTCACGAAGTAGACGGCCCCGAAGCTGCCATGGCCGATCTCCCGCAGATCCACAAACAGCTTCTCGGGGTCGTCCTTGAAGAAGAGCTCGGCCACCTCGGGATCCTTGAGGCTGCCGGCCCGGGCGTTGGACGGCATGGCCGTGGTGGGGGGGCTGCTCTGGCGCCCCGCTCACCTCCTGCAAGGGATATGCCACACGTCAGCCTGCACAGGGGCCCAGGCGGCCTGGTCCCGAGCCCCCCGCTCTGAGGCACCCAGGCCCCACTCCCCACCCAGAGCCGGGAGAGAACCCAGGAGTCCTGGCTCCTAGCCCCCCGCCATCTCGCCCCCACTCCAGACAGACTCAGCAGCTGCCTGGCAGGTTTGGGCTGTCAGGTGGGGGCGGGGGTGATGGTGGTGCTGCTTGTTTCCCAGAGTCCTTTGCAGACGGGCAGAGGATCTGAGGGTGGGGGGAGATGGGGACTCCTGGGTGTGCCATATGAAGGGGATCCTTTAACCCTTTCCTCTCCCCAGTCATCTTCCTAGCCCCCCAACCTGCCAGGTATTGCTGAGCCCTCCTTGCGCCCCACATGGGGTCCCCGATCCTGCTGTGTGACGGGCCAGGGACTGAGGGGATGGGCACAGAACTGATGGGGGGGCTCAGAGCTGGAGTCACACAGGTCAGGAGGGGGTCACACCCAACCCTCTGGAAAAAGATGGTAGGTCAGCTCACGAAATGGGCTGTGGGGCCTGTGTCCTCCGGGGGGCGCCGGCTCTGATCCGAACCCAGGGCGGGGACAGGCTGGCTCAGGGGGGCAGGGAATGGGACATGGGGCCTGTCCTCTGTGGGGGCCGGGCTGAGCCCGCTCCTCCCTGTAGCTGTGGCTGAAAGCAGGCAGGAGGCACAGGGGAAATCCTGCCATTGTTCCCTGCTTCCCCGCAGCGCTCAGCACCGGGAGGGGGCCTCCTCACCTTCAGCATGGCCCTTCCCAGACCCTCTGGGAGCCTGGATGCCTGGGTTCTCCCCACACCTCAGGACGGGGAGCAAAGTCTGGTGACAGGGGAGGGGGGGGGGCTGGGAGCCAGAACTCCTGGGTTCTATCCCTGGCTCTAGAACAGAATCACAGTTAAGCCTAAGAAGCTCCTTTTCCCAACTTCCCCAGAGGAAAAAGGCCCCGTGTCCCACTCCCCCCACCCCCTTCCTCTGGGGTAGGGGAACGGCTCCAGGTCCTAGCTCCTGGACCGACTCAGAGCCCAGCCCAATCCCCGACCCAGCACCAGGACAAGCTGGCACCATGGGGCACAGAGAGGGCGGAGGGGCAGACCCTCGCCATAGCAGGTGAAGGCACAGAGAGCCCACCTCGGCCTGAGATCCCCTGTGCTGGGCCAGCCCAATCCTTCCCCCCGCCCCATAGCCCCACTGCTCATGACGGGCCAGCCCATCCTCCCAGCCCGACCCTGCCCCCCCCCATACCCCCACTGCCCCGTGCTGGGCCAGACTATCCCCCCAGCCCCCCCATATCCCCACTGCCCCGTGCTGGGCCAGACTATCCCCCCAGCCCCCCCCCATAGCCCCACTGCCCCGTGCTGGGCCAGACTATCCCCCCAGCCCCCCCCCATAGCCCCACTGCCCCGTGCTGGGCCAGACTATCCCCCCAGCCCCCGCCATATCCCCACTGCCCCGTGCTGGGCCAGACTATCCCCCCAGCCCCCCCCATATCCCCACTGCCCCGTGCTGGGCCAGACTATCCCCCCAGCCCCCCCCCCATAGCCCCACTGCCCCATGCTGCACCACTCTATCCCCCCAGCCCCCCCCATATCCCCACTGCCCCGTGCTGGGCCAGACTATCCCCCCCCCCCCCCACAGCCCCACTGCCCCGTGCTGCACCACTCTATCCCCCCAGCCCCCCCCCCCTATCCCCACTGCCCCGTGCTGGGCCAGACTATCCCCCCAGCCCCCCCATATCCCCACTGCCCCGTGCTGCATCACTCTATCCCCCAGCCCCCCCATAGCCCCACTGCCCCGTGCTGGGCCAGACTATCCCCCAGCCCCCCCCCCCCATAGCCCCACTGCCCCGTGCTGGGCCAGACTATCCCCCCAGCCCCCCCCCATATCCCCACTGCCCCGTGCTGCATCACTCTATCCCCCCAGCCCCCCCCATATCCCCACTGCCCCGTGCTGGGTAAGACTATCCCCCGGCCCCCCCCATAGCCCCACTGCCCCGTGCTGGGCCAGACTATCCCCCAGCCCCCCCATATCCCCACTGCCCCGTGCTGGGCCAGACTATCCCCCAGCCCCCCCATAGCCCCACTGCCCCGTGCTGGGCCAGACTATCCCCCCGGCCCCCCCCATAGCCCCACTGCCCCGTGCTGGGCCAGACTATCCCCCCGGACCCCCCCATAGCCCCACTGCCCCGTGCTGGGCCAGACTATCCCCCCAGCCCCCCCCCCCATATCCCCACTGCCCCGTGCTGGGCCAGACTATCCCCCAGCCCCCCCCATAGCCCCACTGCTCCGTGCTGGGCCAGACTATCCCCCCAGCCCCCCCCCATATCCCCACTGCCCCGTGCTGGGCCAGACTATCCCCCCAGCCCCCCCCCATAGCCCCACTGCCCCGTGCTGGGCCAGACTATCCCCCCAGCCCCCCCATATCCCCACTGCCCCGTGCTGGGCCAGATTATCCCCCCAGCCCCCCCCCCATAGCCCCACTGCCCCGTGCTGGGCCAGACTATCCCCCAGCCCCCCCCCATAGCCCCACTGCCCCGTGCTGCGCCAGACTATCCCCCCAGCCCCCCCCCATAGCCCCACTGCTCCGTGCTGGGCCAGACTATCCCCCAGCCCCCGCCATATCCCCACTGCCCCGTGCTGGGCCAGACTATCCCCCCAGCCCCCCCCATATCCCCACTGCCCCGTGCTGGGCCAGACTATCCCCCCAGCCCCCCCCATAGCCCCACTGCCCCGTGCTGGGCCAGACTATCCCCCCAGCCCCCCCCCCATATCCCCACTGCCCCGTGCTGGGCCAGACTATCCCCCAGCCCCCCCCATAGCCCCACTGCCCCGTGCTGGGCCAGACTTTCCCCCGGCCCCCCCCATAGCCCCACTGCCCCGTGCTGGGCCAGACTATCCCCCCAGCCCCCCCCCATAGCCCCACTGCCCCGTGCTGGGCCAGACTATCCCCCCAGCCCCCCCCATAGCCCCACTGCCCCGTGCTGGGCCAGACTATCCCCCCAGCCCCCCCCCATATCCCCACTGCCCCGTGCTGGGCCAGACTATCCCCCAGCCCCCCCCCCATATCCCCACTGCCCCGTGCTGGGCCAGACTATCCCCCAGCCCCCCCCATATCCCCACTGCCCCGTGCTGGGCCAGACTATCCCCCCAGCCCCCCCCCATAGCCCCACTGCCCCGTGCTGGGCCAGACTATCCCCCAGCCCCCCCATAGCCCCACTGCCCCGTGCTGGGCCAGACTATCCCCCCAGCCCCCCCCCATAGCCCCACTGCCCCGTGCTGGGCCAGACTATCCCCCCAGCCCCCCCCATAGCCCCACTGCCCCGTGCTGGGCCAGACTATCCCCCCAGCCCCCCCCATAGCCCCACTGCCCCGTGCTGGGCCAGACTATCCCCCAGCCCCCCCCATAGCCCCACTGCCCCGTGCTGGGCCAGACTATCCCCCCAGCCCCCCCCATAGCCCCACTGCCCCGTGCTGGGCCAGACTATCCCCCCAGCCCCCCCATAGCCCCACTGCCCCGTGCTGGGCCAGACTATCCCCCCAGCCCCCCCATAGCCCCACTGCTCCGTGCTGGGCCAGACTATCCCCCAGCCCCCCCCATAGCCCCACTGCTCCGTGCTGGGCCAGACTATCCCCCAGCCCCCCCCATAGCCCCACTGCCCCGTGTTGGGCCAGACTATCCCCCCAGCCCCCCCATAGCCCCACTGCTCCGTGCTGGGCCAGACTCTCCCCCAGCCCCCCCCATAGCCCCACTGCCCCGTGCTGGGCCAGACTATCCCCCCAGCCCCCCCCATAGCCCCACTGCCCCGTGCTGGGCCAGACTATCCCCCCAGCCCCCCCATAGCCCCACTGCCCCGTGCTGGGCCAGACTATCCCCCAGCCCCCCCATAGCCCCACTGCCCCGTGCTGGGCCAGACTATCCCCCAGCCCCCCCCCATAGCCCCACTGCCCCGTGCTGGGCCAGACTATCCCCCCAGCCCCCCCATAGCCCCACTGCCCCGTGCTGGGCCAGACTATCCCCCCAGCCCCCCCCCATAGCCCCACTGCCCCGTGCTGGGCCAGACTATCCCCCCAGCCCCCCCATAGCCCCACTGCCCCGTGCTGGGCCAGACTATCCCCCCAGCCCCCCCCATAGCCCCACTGCTCCGTGCTGGGCCAGACTATCCCCCCAGCCCCCCCCCATAGCCCCACTGCTCCGTGCTGGGCCAGACTATCCCCCCAGCCCCCCCCATAGCCCCACTGCCCCGTGTTGGGCCAGACTATCCCCCCAGCCCCCCCATAGCCCCACTGCCCCGTGTTGGGCCAGACTATCCCCCAGCCCCCCCATAGCCCCACTGCTCCGTGCTGGGCCAGACTATCCCCCCAGCCCCCCCCCATAGCCCCACTGCCCCGTGCTGGGCCAGACTATCCCCCAGCCCCCCCCATATCCCCACTGCCCCGTGCTGGGCCAGACTATCCCCCCAGCCCCCCCCCCATATCCCCACTGCCCCGTGCTGGGCCAGACTATCCCCCAGCCCCCCCCCATATCCCCACTGCCCCTTGCTGGGCCAGACTATCCCCCCAGCCCCCCCCCCATAGCCCCACTGCCCCGTGCTGGGCCAGACTATCCCCCAGCCCCCCCCATAGCCCCACTGCCCCGTGCTGGGCCAGACTATCCCCCCAGCCCCCCCCCATAGCCCCACTGCCCCGTGCTGGGCCAGACTATCCCCCAGCCCCCCCCCATAGCCCCACTGCCCCGTGCTGGGCCAGACTATCCCCCCAGCCCCCCCCATATCCCCACTGCCCCGTGCTGGGCCAGACTATCCCCCCAGCCCCCCCCCATATCCCCACTGCCCCGTGTTGGGCCAGACTATCCCCCCAGCCCCCCCCCCATAGCCCCACTGCCCCGTGCTGGGCCAGACTATCCCCCCAGCCCCCCCCATAGCCCCACTGCCCCGTGCTGGGCCAGACTATCCCCCAGCCCCCCCCATAGCC